TTATTATTATTATTATTATTATTATTATTATTATTATTATTATTATTATTATATATCATATAAAGCGTATTACCCACGAAATGAGCCTTTCTCAAGTGTAATGACCACCCTACCTGATTCTAACCATTGCATGATGGGAACATGGGGGACATCAAGGGGAAAAAAAATCCTTGATAACAGTGGATTGTTTCCACAGTGAAATTCAGCTACATTTATACTGGACTACTAGAAGTAATCTGATACTATCAAACTGTTTTATTTGTGGTTATTGAGGATTGTTATGACTGACTTAGTTGTATTGAAATATATTAATTTGAATATAATATGCTACTAGAGGGAAAAGAGAGGGTTTTTTTAATGATTTAATCTGAACTTTATGAATATGACTTTGTTTGTGGACAATTGATTGCCCTGCCACCACGTTGATTCTTAAGCACTTGTTTGTAAAATGAAAAAAAAACCCAATAAAACCTGTTTTTAAAAAAAACTGTTTTATTTGTAACTCACATTGATCAAAATGCTACCTACTCTTCCACCTCTAGGTGTCTTATGAGATAAAACAGTAGCATCCCTCCATAAAACCAATAAATGGTAAACAAAACTACGAAAAACTAAAGATAAATCTCTGATTTCTATCAGATGATTCCAAATGCTCTTAAAGAGAACTGTTTTCATAATCTTTTGAACCACTGTCAAAATAGAGGCTCATCCAACCTCATGGAGCAAACTTTTACTGAGGGACAAGTCTACCATAGAGAAGGTCTTAATCAACCCCTCTGGTTTCTTTTAGGGTGGGCATGAGAGAATTCTCTCCTTCTTAGACGATATAGGTCTGCCAGACTCTATATCAGGGGTAGTCAACCTTGGCTCTTTTATGACTCGTGGACTTCAACTCGTGAAGTCCACGAGTCATAAAAGAGCCAAGGTTGACTACCCCTGCTCTATATGAAGAAGTTATTCTAGTATGTATATACTCTAGGGCAGAAATTTACTCTGTTATTGCTGACATATGCGCTCTTTTGTTTTATTGGTGCATGTGGTGTCATTAGTAAAAATGTTCTTCCTCTTTCAGGCATGGTGTGACAACAACAGTCATGTCATTTGATGCCATAGTTAGCATCATTGGTATCATTAGTTAAACTTACCATAGGCTTTGGAAACAACTTTGATTAAAGGCAGTTGGGAATGTCAGTAAGAATAGTATAATCAAATATGTAAGAAGGATCGTCCTTCTTGCTTATCTCTTCAAAGGATAGCCACTTTCTATCACTGTATGTATACTGTGAATGAAAAAGGCTGTTGCTTGAAGAGATACAACAGTCAATGGAAGAACGTAATCTGTTATGCTCTTTTGTGAAGTGATTGCTTAAGTGAGTTGGCCTTATGAAATCACTTAATTCTCTTGCATGTATGCATGAAAATAGAAGCAAAGAGGTATCTATGAATACCTCAACAGGATGACCCAAAGACATCAACCACAATGAAGCCATCTGTTGTGGTGCAAGCATATGCATAAGGTATTGGACTGAAGGAAGTTTCATAATCACAGCAGATGCAAGTGCTGTGAAGAGGAAAGATTGACTTTGGGCTTATTGTACATTCTCTGTCTGTTGCATGTGTCTGTTGGATGGGTCTTCTAATTTATCTACTTTCACCTACTTAGTAAGTACTGCCAAAAGATATATAAATGTGTTTACTCTCAAAGACATATGAATAGTTTGACAAACTCCTATTACTGTTAATTATCTTAAGTGTAAGCTTTCTGGGTTATATTTTGAAAGATGTTTATGAACAACCAGTACAATTATAGCGTAGTTTGTGTATGATGTGCAAAATCACAATGAAAGCCCATTCTGAATGTATTGCCTTGTATCGGCTTACTAAATTACATGGTACTTTGACACATAAATCAGCATTTTTCTAAATGAATATGAACTCCCTCTGAAATATACTCAGTTATGTTTAAGTATCATGTTAGAGTGAAATAGTTTATTGCAGCTGTTAAAGGCTTTTCAAAGGCTAGTCCAGGTTTTGGAGCAATTCTTGCTTCTTTCATCAACTCCAAGATGAAGAAGAAAGTTGTGTCATAGGGTGGTGGTATTCTACTTGTGTTGTGCTTCAATTGTCTGGGAGTCTAACCTATCTTCTATTCTTAGAGAAGTTGGAGAAGACTTTGTGTTGCACATGCTTTCGTAGACATTAAGTAGAATACACTGTATTGTAAGCAAGAAAACTTGGCTTCTTGGAACAGGTCTACTGAAATAATACTGCATTACTAAATGTATTATTGGTATATTAAATACTTAGCAAACACACTATATAAACATGCTGGGAGCCATCTGCTATTAGCCTCTGTGATTCTACTTTTGAAGATCTTTTTTCAATTCTCTTTTATTGGCCTCTTTGTTGTCTTGTTACCATAGGGGACAAGCGCAAGAAACAAGAACTGCACAGATTTCAGAAAGACAGGTTTAATGCTAGTCAAGGTAATATCACAATCTTGAAACAAATTTATAACAAGCTAATTACAGTGAAGGAACTTTGTCACGTTTCCTTTCTATGGCTCTTTTCCTACAGCCAATGAAGTTCTTCTCCTTCATCTAATACTCCCAGTGTCTTATAGCTGCTAACCCATAAAGTAGAAAGCTAGAGTCCAAAACCATCTCCTAGAAGCATTTTGAGTTTTCCCACCCCTTCTTTGCCTCTTACTGTAGAGTCATGGTGGTTTGGCAGTTGGTGCCACCTCTCTTCTGGGGTCATTTCACTTGATGTCTCAAACCTGGGTGTGAGAGAGATAGTGTTCTCTGAGGAGGTAGAGGGAAAAAGGCTTTCAAAATTATACCCTATATCAGTATAGTAACATTCCTGAAATCTTTCCTCTATGCGCTTCCTGACCTGGCTTACCTCAGATTTCATTTTTCCTTGACTTCCTGTTTATTTTATTTTATTTATTTATTTAATCCCATTTATACCCCGCCCTTCTCCCGAGGGACTCAGGGCGGCTTACAGGTAAATAAAAACAGTACAATACAATAGATATCTCTAAAAGCCAAATTAAAATATATATTAAATAACCTGTATTAAGTTTAATATTATAAAATCCCTTTAAAATCCCTATAAAATCCCCCCCTANGAGATCCGGAATAATCCGGATCTCTGGGGGGAGTTCGTTCCACAGGGTGGGAGCTCCCACAGAGAAGGCCCTCCCCCTGGGGGTCGCCAGCCGACACTGTTTGGCCGACGGCACCCTGAGGAGGCCCGCTCTGTGGGAGCGTACCGGTCGATGGGAGGCAATCTGCGGCAGAAGACGGTCTCGAAGATACCCAGGTCCGGATTTCAATGAATTATTTTTGAGGTTACTGGGAAGATGGTAAATCGCACACTTAGGGCTCTCAGTCCAGCTGTATCTTCCATTTCTGTGTCTATTTCTCCAACTTCTGCCTCACAAATTAAAGTAACCCTCACACTAGAAGGCTACTTGTAGGGCCTAAGCCGAATCACACTCTTAAATATATTATGATAACTAAATTACAATGTATACTATAATACAGGTAAATTTCATGATGTGTATACATAGTATAGATGAAAGTCTAGCCAATTTTGTAGTAAAGCAGCATGAGGTTATAATAATGATCAGAACAGAACTGGAAGGGACCTTGGAGGTCTTCTAGTCCAACCCTATACCATTTCAGACAGGTGGCTGTCCAGTTTTTTTTTAAAAAAATCTCCAGGTTTTGGAAGGAGTGTAAGAGGAGGCATCATACAAAGTCCAAGGAAGTTCAAAACAAAAAGAACAGGTTCTCTAATGAACAAATTTTCCATAACCTGAATCTTGTGCTCAAGTTTTCATCTTCGAACGAATAAAGTTTGAATCTACAATGTTGCCCAACATAGCCCTTCCTTCTTTGGAGTGCCTCAACTTTGCTGCAAGGCACCACCAACATTAACCAACCAGAAGGCTGCTGAGTAAGCAACCTGTCAGGGCCAGCCTCCCTATATGACCTGAAATTTCATTAACATGGCATTGAATTTTGTCAGCATAATTTTTCGGAGGAGGGTCAAGGGTAAAAATGTCTTATTCTTTAGCCTATGATACCTTTGACCATTGTGATTCTCTATCTATTCTCCCATGATATGTAGCACGGCTCTGTGAGAAAGCTTCAATTTAGAGATAGAGAGAGCATTATTTCATTCTTGAAATAATTTTCTTCTGTATTTCTCTATGGCAAGACACCTTGGTGAAAGAATCATCGGTGTCAAGAGGTATGTTCAGCAAAGAAACCCACGGCACTTTTAAAATTACAATTGTGTTCAAAATGTGGGTGTCGTTCTTCTGTCTGCATCTTGTACATGTATACTTGGACATGCATCTCAGGTGGTGCAGCTAAAAAAGCAAA